AAAGAATACTCAGTTAATGCTAATGCCCACTTACCAATTTGACTATGCAAAATAGGCTTGGATAATATATGTTTAATAATATTGAAATACGAAGAGACATACACATCAACTGGTTTTATATATTGCTTCAACTTTGTACACGAGAAATACAAACATAGACATAGTTTTTCTATCTCACTATATCTAATTTCTGCATCATTCAAAACCCTGCTAAGATAGTAAATAGCACTTTCGACGCCATTCTCATCCTCTTGAGCCAACATGCTCCCTAGAGTCTTGTCTGATGCTGCTATGTACAATCTCATGCTCTTGCTTCTACAGGATGGCGAAAGGACTGAAGGACGAGTCAAATAATCTTTGATCTTGTCAAAAGCCTCCTGTTAATTTTTCCCCCATTCGAACCTTTCTTTAGTGACTCGAAGCAATGGTGAGAAGGCCTGCGCTTTGCCACTTAGGTTTGATATAAATCTTCTCAAGAAGTTTATTTTACCTAGCAACGATTACAGATCCTTCTTGTTCGACGGCGCTTTTGCTTCCATAATGGCTTTCGTCTTGTTCTAGTTAATTTCGATCCCCTTTTTGTGGACCACAAAACCTAAGAAATCTCCCGCCTGCACACAAAATACGCACTTTAGAGGGTTCATCTTGAGACCATACTTCCTCATCCTTATGAAGGATTGTCGCAGATGATCTATATGATCTTTTCCTGATACGGATTTCACCACAATGTCATCAATATATATCTGCATGAAGGACTCAATATAATCATGAAAAATTGAATTCATTGCTCGCTGATATGTTGCCCCAACGTTCTTCAGGTCAAAAGGCATCACTACCCATTCGTAAGTGCCTAAAGCCCCTGGACAACGAAATGCTATTTTGGGAACATCATCTTCTGCGATGAAAATCTAGTTATAGCCAGAGTATCCATCCAGCATGCTAAGATACTCATGGCCGGTGGCAGAATTGACTAACATCTCCGCCACCAGCATCAAATATTCATCTTTAGGGGTTGCTGAATTCAGATCCCTAAAGTCTATGCATACTTTTAAAGATCCGTTTTTCTTAATGACTGGTACAATATTGGCTAGCCATTCGACATACCTGGTCGTGCAAATAAACCTGCATCGAAGGAGTCTTTCGACTTCTTCCTTTATTTTCAAGAGAATTTATGGAGCGAAGCGTCTTGGGTTTTTCTTGGTTGGCTTCTTGCCAGGTTTGATTGACAACCTATGTTCAACCAAATCCCTCTTCAAACCAGGCATCTCATCATAATCCCAGACAAAATAGTCTTTGTATTTCTGCAGCAACTGGATAATTTTGACCTTGAGTTGCGAGTCGAGATTGACACTGATGTATGTTGGCCTTTTGACCATTCCTTCTTCTAGATCTACTTCCTCAAATGGGTCTTGTGCGAGCATCTCGAAACCCAGAGGCTCTTCGTCATAAATAGCATCGAGCCTTTAGTCTTCGTTCTGAATCTTATCAGGTGATTCGGGATCGAAACCTTTACTAGGGTCTCTTTGACAAGATTCCTCATTGGCCTTTTCAGCCATTTTGTTGTTGGCAGCCTCCAAGGCCGCTTGTAGTTTTGTTTCGGTCACGTAGGCCAAAATTCTTTGAAGCACTACGGCTTCAGTCATCATTACTGAATTCGCTTCCCCATCCAGTGGGCTCTACCGGAGCCGTGCCAAGGTATGAGGGTCTCTCACCTGGCACCTCCTTATCCCAGCGGAAACCATCGACAGGGTGCAGATAAAGTGAGTAGTATACTTCATCATTTGGCACAAACTCGAAATCTGCCGGAACACACGGACCTATGTTGGCCAGGTGCTTGTCGAATTGTCTTCAGTCAACGTGGTTTATGGGTGCCTTAAAGTATCCTTGGTCAGCTTCGATATTTTCCACGATGCCATCTAGTCTCCATATGACAATTCTTTGATGCATTGAAAATGGTACTGCCCCAATGCCATGGATCCATTCCCGCCCAAGCAGCAGATTGTAGTTAGCTGTTGTTTCTACCACCACAAAAATGGTTGGTCGTGTAACCGTTGACGTCCACCTGTATAACCCCATGGTCGAACCTACTTTGCCTTCGTAGTTTGACAAAACCATGTTGTGTGGTTTCGTATCGGTATCATATTTGCTGATTTTGTTCAACAAGAAATGTGGCATCAGGTTTACTGTCGCGCCACAATCCACTAGAATCTTATTAATTGGGACATTTTCCACTTTCGCTGTGATATAAAGAGGCTTCAAATGGTTTTTCATTGCTTTTGTGGGCCGTTCGAAAAAGACATTTTGTTCTTCGACACAGCCGTTAATCATAACATAGTAACACACAGGCTTGTGTGCCGCCATCTCCCAATCTGTGTAAGTACCCAGATTTTCGGCTACTGATATTCTGTCAAACTCCCTTGGCATTACCGACACTACATTAACCAGCAATTTCAAGGAATCATTGGAGTCGGAATCGAAATTATCGGAATCGAAATTTCAAGGAATCATCGTTGTGTAATATCTCTTTGATTAGAGTAAGTTTGTCTACAATAGCCTATGAGTTTTGCTACTGAATCATCTGGAGCATGTCGTTCAACAATCCATGGCTCCTTTTGGGCTAAGACTACTGTGTTTATCTCTTTAAATAAAAGAGTTAGTTTGCAACTGAATGTAACTTTATGCGTAAGATGCAAATGATCGTCGAATGGATCTGGACGGTGAAGATATACTTTACGAGTAGGCTAATCAGAATGATGTGACACATGAAGTTTATTTATCCTTTCTCCTTGTTTTGTCTTTGAACCTCAATGTCTTTTTAAGTCTTATGGTCAATTTATATAACATAAATATTATTTACATATTTATTTGTGATTTTGACACATTTGTTTTTATTAAATAATATAATTTATTTTTATTAAATAATATAATTCGTTCAAACAAAAATACATTTTAAAATTGAACAATATTACAAAATTGTTATTAACAAAATTGTATTATTTTTTTAAATTTTTTTTCTCTATTCAATTTTCAAAACTAAACCAAAATTTTTAAACTTATATGAGTTTTTTAGTTTTCAAAAACTCATAAAAAATAGTTTTATAAAAGTAAACTACTAATATCAAAAAAATTGTAATATTTTTAAATTTTAAAAACTAAAAATATATTATAAAACTAAATCGAGCCCTTATTTATGAATTGAATAACAAAGTAACATAAGTAGTAGATAGTTGGGAGGATATACAAGTTGAGTTGGATTAAGTATGATTTAATACATTATTCAATTTGTTCAAATTTTAATGGTAGGTTCATTATCTGTCCTGCAATTTTACTTTATGAGCTGGATTTGGAAGTTGTATTTTAAATAAAAAATATTTTTTATATAATATTATTTTATTAATAAACAAAATTATACACAGTTTAATACAATTATATTTATTTATAACATTTAAATTAGATGAAATATATCATATAATGTCTAATAAAATTCATTCATATATAATAATAAAAAGTTTTATAAAACACATTATTTTTATAAAATATCTAAGTTAAAAATGACATAAAAAAATAAAAAACAACACGTATTATTAGAACAAGGTAATCTCATTAGTATAGTAGGTGTATTGGTGTTGCAAAAATTGTTTTTGGTAAAGTTGTGATTAGTAGTGAAATCTTAATTTTATATTTTTCTTTTAAAATAATGATTAAAAAAAATAAAAAATCACTATACTAAAAAAAATTATATAAATTATTTTAGATTGGATTGAATATAGAGCAGGTTTGAATAATTTATAAGTTGGTTAAGTTTGAATAAACAGATCCGCAAACACCCTAATGTAACAGTTAAAGAGAATGAAAAAGTATTATCCAATCTCTCCAGAATAATGAATAGCTATAGCATCTCTTAATTCCTTTCGTTTTCTAAATCCTAGTTACTCCTTCAAATAAAATCTAAATGCCACGTGGATGTTAAAATAAAAGAAAAAGAAAAATGTGAACAACTATTTTGTGTAAATCATTTGACACTAAGAAATTTATAGCAGCTTTCTAGATGTTAAAATAAAAGTAATAATAAAATAAAGAATGAACTAGTATTTGGCTTAAAGCAAAAGAAAACATAATTTTACATGTTAAGGAAGACAGCTAAGAGTCCACAAAGCATAAAAGAAACGCGCCAAAAATAAGTTGAGTCCAAACGTGATAAGTTGAAGCCACGAATCTCACTCACATTCATACTTTTAAAAGTCAATTACTTCACGCGCCAAACAGTCCTCAACAAAATTTATATATTTTATTTCGCAAAAATAAATATTCCACGTCACGAGGCGAGATCAACGCAACGAACCATTCCCATTTTCGCAAATACCCAAACAACTGGACCCACTTTTTCATCCAAGGCGGTTTCCTTGTTAGTAACAAATTCGTTGCGTTGCGGAATCTGTTTTTTGAAAACTACTACCGCCAAACAACTAACGTTATATCTCAGCCGTTCATTTATCACCACCATCAACGGTTGCTGTAGCTGATTGTAACAGTCAAAACCGGCGTTTGATTTTAACGTTTTTTTGTTTTTTGCCGGCTCGCCCACTTGCATTGGACCGGGCCAGTTTTTTTTTTTGGTTAAGTCAAAAAAAATATAAGAATCATCGATAAAAGAAAATTTGAATTTTACGTTTCATTAATTAATTAAAAAATAAAACTAGAACTATAACTATTCCAATAATAGTCAAGCCCCACCACGTGACCAAATGTCACACGCATGCTGGATCACCCTTTTTACAAAGGAAGATATGCTACTGTATTTAAATTCCAAAATAAAATTAAAAAAAAAACTATAACAATAAGAGCAGAGAAAGAGAAGAAAAAAATCATAAAGTTTCTTTCAACCTAACTTCAATTCATCTTCTTCTTCTGAACAGGTAATAATAATAATAATAATGAAAATTGAAGAATAAAGTACCTAAAATTGAAACCGGTTAATAGTTGAATTTATTTGCAGAAAAATGGAGTTTGCGGTAGCAAAAGCTTTGAAACCGAGTTTACGAAGGGAGTTTGTTTATCAACAAACGCTCGGCGAGGAACTTTATAGCTTTAACTCGAACACGGTGGTTGCCGGTGAGGATTTCTCCGTCGACGACCTCCTTGACTTCTCCAACGGCGACGTTCTTCACCATGAGCAACACAACGAGGAAGATGAAGAAGAAAAAGATAGTTTATCTCTTTCCTCTCACTCACTCTCGGAAGATAGCAACTCCAATTCCACCGACGCTTCCTATGATTCCATTTTCTCAACTGAATTACTCGTTCCGGTGAGTTTCTCTCTCTATAAGGCTCTTCTTCTTCTTCGTTTTGTAACGGAAACTGAAAACTAGGGATTTTATTTACAGGATGATGACGTGGCAGGCCTTGAATGGGTTTCTCACTTTGTAGATGATTCTCTACCAGAGCTTTCTCTTCTCTATCCGGTTCATGTTCAAACCAACGCATATCCTCAAAATGAACCGAACCATGAAAAAACCTTCCGTTTTTCTTCTGATAAAATTACCAGAAAAACCAGAACCGTCAAGAACAGAAAACCAAACCCTCGGGCTTGGGCTTTTAGCCCTTTGATTTTGCGTCCGTTTTTTCCGTCTACGGTTTTTGCAGAGCCGCCAGCGAAGAAACAGAAGAAAAAGGCCCAGGCCCAAGTTGATGGAGTTGAAGCCCAAGATGAGTCCCATTTACAGCGAAGGTGTAGTCATTGCCAAGTGCAGAAGACGCCGCAGTGGAGAACCGGTCCGTTAGGAGCTAAAACCCTATGTAACGCGTGTGGGGTTCGGTATAAATCCGGTCGGCTTTTTTCGGAGTATAGACCGGCTTGTAGCCCAACTTTTAGCAGCGAAATTCATTCCAATAGCCACCGGAAAGTGTTGGAGATGAGGAAGAGGAAAGGAATGGCTGGACCGGAGTCCGGTTTATCGGCTCAGACCCAAATAGTTACAACTTGCTGAGAGTGTAGATTAGGAAAGAGTTGTAGTGGGTTAGTTGTTATACCTCCACCAACCGGTTTGAACCGGGTTCGTTTTTTTGTAAAATATTTAGTGGTTGTAGTTGTAGTGGTAGTCAGGTAGGCAGCAGGTAAGGGATATTATTAGGAAGGTATGGATTGTTTTTATTTTTATCCCATTTTCTTAGCTTTGTTCTTTTTAATTAATCTAATACAGTTTTAAGTTTTTTTTTTAACAAATTAAGTTTTAAGTTATTTGCAGGATTTCACTCCCCAAAAATGAAAGTATTTGGAGAAATAGTAATTTAGGTGTGAAATTTGCTTTAAGAAAAATAAGTTAGGTGTGAAGATAGCCATTTATTCAAGGTGTCATTTGGTTGGTTAGAGTTAGATATTTTCTTAGCTTTTTTTGTCAAACACTATACCAAAAGATTGAATTATTCAACTAAGTTTAATAGTATGTTTTTTGATTTCGTGTGTGAGCGGGAGAGATGGGTCAGAAGTGGAATTATGCACAAATCAGTTAAAGTTAATTAATTCAGTTTATAAGCTAAAGTTTCGTTTAGAGTGTGTAAAAAGTTAAGTCTAAGCTAAAATTTGAATTTATATCACGTTAATTCCAAGGGACCAGATCTAATTCTTTAGCTTAGTTAGGATTTGTAATCATAAGCTAAAATTATTCATGTAATTAAGGTTGAAAATAAGATAAGTCCAACATAGATTTAATTAACTTAATTTTTTTAAAATTTATTTAATTTGAGTTCGATATCAACTTTTTTCACAATTTAATTCAGTTTTCTTTCATGTTTAAAAACAACTCAATTAAATCGTTTGTTCAAATCACGTAATTTATATAAAAAAAACAAAATATTTAAAATAAAAAAACATAAAATAATGTCAATCGCTTGTTTAAATCACGTAATTTATAAAAGAAACAAATATTTAAAATTAAAAAGAAAAAACATAAAATACATGCCAAACATAAGGCATGAAATAGAATCAACTTAGAAATCAAAGTATAATAAATTAGTGAATAAAGTTTATTATATTAATGAGAAATTAAGATTTAAATTATATTTGAATAGACTCATTCATTAGTTATATATACAATTAATTATATTTAATTATTTAAATACAATATTTATTATTTAAAAATTAATCATTTTAAATTACACTAATTTAACGAACTTGTTTCTACAATCAAATATCTTTGTATAATACAAATATTTGTATAAAAATGAACATAATACATATCTTTAAAAACAACCATTCATGATTTTTTTTATTAATTAAAAATTTTTTTTCACTCTTTAATCTGATAATCACCACTCTATAATTCCAATTAAACATAAAATTCAATTTATCATAAATTCAATTTTTCCTCTTTTTATATTAGTTATTTCTAACAATAGAGATATATGTATGTTTCTATCAATTATTTCTCCTTTTTATAAATTATTATCAACTGACCTGAAAGAGATTTAATACATGTTATTTTATTCCGATTATTGAGTCAAATTCTTTTTAGCTAAGAAGTAATTAGATTTAGAGAATTAAATTGTTGTTTTGAATGGAAACATTTTCTCTCTATATATATAAATTATTTTATAAAAGAAGCTAAGATTGAAAACAACTTTTTATTATCTCTTTAAATCAGTTCAATTGTACAAAGACTTCATTTTTTAAAAGTAGAAATTCAAACCACTAAACTACTTGAAAAAACGATTTTTTATCGGAACAATTTTAAATGATTTTTTCTTTCAATGTTGAAAACATTATAATAAACCAACCAATATTTTTAAGAGTGTTTAAAAAAATATTGAATTTAATTAAACTTAATCACCACTAAGAGTCTGAGACACATCACACAAGCCTGAAGTGTGATGGAAGCATTTAACAAATAATACTAGGTGGCACTTATTTGAGTGAGAGAGAGTATGAGTACCCCTAAAATGTGATATTGCCGCCACATGATGGGGTCCAGTGGCTCGGATTTTTTTAATGATAAAATATATGGGAGAGTCTCTAATAATAAGGTTAAAATATACACGATGGATTTGATTAGAAAATACACAATATTCTTCTATGATAAAGTTGAATATGTGAGTGTACACTACATGGATACACAATTAATTTGGGGACATTTGAGTGTTAAAGGAGAATAATAGTAACATTGTAACTGTCGTGCATAACGTCTTTATGGATATAACTAGTATCAAGTTATTATTGGAAACTTCCTCTTGGTATGTAACTAGAGTGTATGCTAGTCTCGTGCACACTTTTCGTCTTGACATGTGGCTCCACCTCATTGACTGGAGGAACATTGTTGATGGTCCTTCGATGTTGATTGAAGACTTTAATGACATCATTCATCTGAGTGAACAAAAAGGAGGTAATTTTAATCATTTTAGGGCAGCTGCTTTATTGGATGTCATTAATAAATGTAATTTAGTTGAAGTAGACATGACGGGTGGGAAATTCACTTGAAATAGGTCTTGTACTGATAATCACATGGTCAATCGCAAGCTGGATGTGACCTTAGTTGATGTTGCTTGGCGCATGGCTTTTCCTGATGCATATGTTTAGGTGTTGTGTAAATTTCATTCTGATCACAACCTCATTCTCCTTAGGTATGACCTTCCCCTCCAAGACCATGTGTCGCATCCTTTTAGGTTTGAGACAACTTGGATCACTCACCCGAAATACTCCAATATAGTCCAGGACTGCTTGGGAGAAATTCCCAGATAGCATTGTAACTTGTCTCCAAAATGTGCAGCATGACTCTGTCGAGAATGTCAGCAAACAGAAGCACAACATTGAGAAGAAACTTAGGGGGTATTCAATGTTCTTTGGAGAAAATAGATTCAACAAGAGCAATTTATCTCCAACAGGAGCATCAATATGAGTATGGTGAGATCCTTGCCCAAAAGGATATTCATTGGTATCAAAATGCTAGAGATGATTGGATTAATTTAGGAGATCTAAGTACCAAATTTTTTCATACCAATACGGTAATCACACAGAAGTGAAACAAATTCCATGGCCTTCATCTTCTAAATGGTGTTTGGTGTAATGATGATATTATTCCCATGGAAAAAGCTTTGACTTTTTTTAAATGTTTTTTATGCTTTGCGTCTCCTATACTCCCCGTTAGTATGGGTGACTCCACTATAGCTTTAATCCTTATTAAAGAAGCCCAACACTCTTTGACTCAACAGGTGACGAAGGAAGAAGTTACTTATGCATTGAATCAAATGCACCATTTCAAGGCGTTTGGCCCTAATTGATTTTAGGGGATTTTCTTTAAACAATTTTAGCATATAGTTGGACATGATGTTGTCCAATTTTTATTGAATGCCTTTGTGACGGGTAGCTTTCACTCATCTCTTTCAGATGGTTTGTGCAACACTATTTAGATATTAGCTTATTAGCTTGTGCAACACTATTTACAAGCTTATTATGAAGGTTATGGTTAGTAGATTGCGTCATTATCTAAATTAGATAGTTGAACCCTTCCAGAGTAGTTTTTTTCCTGGTAAAGGGACAATAGATAATGCCATTATCTTCCATGAAGCAATTCAATCTATGCGTAAATCTAAAAAGAAAAAAAATTGACATGGTGTTCAAAATAGTTTTGAAAAGGCCTATGATCGTGTTAATTAGGATTTCTTGAAATTTTGTTTGAAGCGAAACATGTTTTCTCTCATTTTTATAATGTTGATCATGCACTATGTAACTAGCTCCTCTATGTATATTCTTTGGAATGAGAGACAACTAGAAAATTTTGTTTCAACTAAAGGGTTACAAAAATGTGACCCCCTTTCACTTTATCTCTTTGTTATCAACATGGAAATCTTGTCGCAGACAATCATTAGGGCAACCAATGAAGGTCGTTGGAAACCTGTCAAGTTATCTCATAATGGACCCTCTATCGCATTTATTCTTTGCTAATGATGTTCTTCTTTTTGAGAAGGTTTTTAACTCCCATGAAAGGATCGTTTATAATATCTTGATTCACTTTGCCATGTTTTCTAACCTTAAAGTGAATGTTGCTAAATCAAAGGTGTTCTTCCCCGCTGCCACTAAGAGGAGTAAAATGGATTTAATTGTCTCCAGCACAGGTATCAAGTGAACTCTTACTCTAGAGAATTACTTGGGTTTTCCTATGTTCCATGGTCATCTTCAACGCAAGGAATTTGAGTTCCTAGAGGAAAAAATCAATCAGAGGTTAGCATCTTGGCAACATAAATTATTAAACAACGTTCGAATCTGGTTAGGTCTATTCGAAGCTCCATCCCAAATTATTGTATGCATGTGGCTTGACTACCTCAACAACTTGTCATTTTATTTATAGGATGGCTAGGATTTTTTTATGGAAAGGCAACTCAAACTCTAGTGTACATCTCATTGGCTTGAATAAAAATCACTAATCCCAAAAAGTTGGATGGTCTTGGAATCTAGAAATCAAGAGAGGTCAATAATTTTATGTTGGGTAAAATGGTTTGAGGTCTCCACCGGGATTGTGATTCCGTATGGGTCCAAGTTTTGAAGCATAAGTACATCAGTGAGGAAAGGTTCCTTAATATGAAAAAGAAATTGGGATCAGTTACTTGGATGAATTTGAATTTATATTAGGGGATGAGAACTCCTCTTTTTGGTTTTCCAATTGGTCTAGGGTAGGGAAATTAGCGGAGTAGTTTCTCTATGTGGATATCTACGATCTAGAAATGTGAGTGAATGATGTTTACTTGGATGGAAATTAGAACTTCAATTCATTATATACTAATATTCATATGGTTGTTTGTGACCGCCTAAAATCACTTCGCATTTGTTTTAATTCTTTGGTTTCATATCGATTAACTTGGAAAGGCAATTTATATGGTATATATATTGCTCGAAATGGTTATAGTTGGATCAACGGACTTAACTTTGTGCAAAATACAATAGACAATAACTTTTGGAAGTTGGTGTGACATATTTTTTCTTACAAGAAGGTGGAATTAT